GATAATGTCAAACATTTTGATTCCAGCCTCAATACAACGCTGCTTTCAGCTAAAAGTCGTTTTATTTGTCGCCAATAAAACGTCAGAAATGAACTCAATTAATTCTTTGCTTTGATTAAAACAGTTGCTCTTTTTTTCTGTCGATCAACTAATCAATTAATTGACTTCTAGTTGCAGCTCGACTGGACTTCCAACCTTGTTTTCAGGGCTTGTCATGCTGACACGATCTGCAGGGAGGCAGACAGACATTAAAGTGGTGGTCAGTGTCAGTCTCTCCCACAGCGAATAAGTGACCTCATCCTGGGCCCAAACATGATACTGTGTCTGTGCAACACACACACACACACACACACACACACACACACACACACACACACACACACACACACACACACACACACACACACAGCTGAGCAGCAGCAGATGGCAGCAGATGTTAGTCAGTTCCTCAGAGAGCAGCGATGTTCCTAACACTGTGTCTGGAAACCATTTTCTGCCTCGCTGGGGGCATCAATGAGTGAGTGTGTGTGTGTGTGTGTGTGTGTGTGAGAGTGTGTGTGTGTGTGTGTGTGTGAGAGTGTGTGTGTGTGTGTGTGTGTGTGTGCTGCTGACTCAACAATGAACAGTGTAGTCAGTATGTGAAGTGAATGTGTTGCACTCATATCTGAACTAGTGATGATGAGTGTGTGTTATCGACTCAGCACACTTGAATGTGAGTGTGTTGTTCTGTCGCTGTGTTTCTGTGTGTGTGTGTGTGTGTGTGTGTGTGTTATTCATATATAAATTTTTCCTAAAGGTTTTAACTCAATACGTAATTTTCTGGAACTGTGAGGAAACACTCATTCCAGCCGACACTGGGTCTGATTTCTGTTTTAATGTTACAGATCTTTTGGGAATCAGATTTCTGTGAGTTTAACAGAACTGCTGGATTAAGATTAGGGAGGTGTTTGGAATAATGATGATTATTTTCATTATCAATTAATCTGTGAAATGTCAGAAAACTGTGAAAAGCACCTGCAATAAACCAGGAGATCCACTGACATCCAACACAGAGAAGAGTAAAGTTATGCCTCTGTTCTCTTTTGCAGTAACTTTATTCTTATGTGACAGTTATAATTTCTCAAATGTCTTTTCTTGTCCGACCAACAGTCGAAAACGAAAGACATTCAAAGTTTACTGTGATGTCTGAGGAATAAAAAGCAGGAAGTCCTCAGGTTTCAGCAGCTGGAATCAACAAACGTTACCAGAATTATTAGAATTGTATTTAAGAATATTAGAATAATAGAATTACAGTAGAATAATCACTGCAGACGTAGTTTAGTGAATGTATTGTGTCAGTGAGGACAGAAGTAAATGCCTCAGTTTCACACTGAAGACTTTAGCAACGTGACACAGAGAGAAGGCTGCCTCATTAGCCCAATTTAACCTGAGATAACACACACACACACACACACACACACACACACACACACACACACACACAGAGAAGTTTCACACTCAGTTAAGTCCGTGGAACAGTCTAACTCACTCATTAACAGCTTTATAATAAATTCATCGTCACATCCTTGTAACGTTCACACCGTTTTCACATCTAGCTTCTTGCCTCAGAGGTTGTGTGTGTGTGTGTGTGTGTGTGTGTGTGTGTGTGTGTGTGTGTGTGTGTGTGTGTGTGTGTGTGCTGCAGACTCTGGAGAGTGAGGTAATGAGTGCTCAGCTCTTCTCAGACAGTCGATCCATAAGCCATCTCCTCTGCATTTAAAAATCGATGTGTACAGCTGCCCTGCCTGCCTGCCGCCGACACGCACACACACACACACACACACACACGCAGATACACACACACACACACACACACACGCACATACACACACACACACACGCACATACACACACACACACAATTACGAAGGCCCTGAAATAAGATCAAAGTCAGATGCTGTTTGATTGCAGTGAGCTGTATTGTAGACTCCAGTGATTCCACCACAGCTTCAACATGAACCAGCATTTATTCCTCTTGCGTTTGTCCGTGAGCTACGTGCTGCCGTTCCTTCACCATACTGTTGATGTTTTAATCATTTCAAAGGGCTGACGAGGTAAAACTGCAGCATTTCATGAGAAACAGCAGAGATTAGACCGAAGTGTGGAGCGTCGTGGAGAAGAAATGATTTGCACACATGATTTCATCACTTTTAGCAATAAAAACTAAATCATGTGCACAAATTTGACTTGTGTTTTCACTGTGACACTCCCTGCGCTCCGTAGATAAAACTGTGTGATATTAAAAATGAATAAAAACCCCTCAGAGTCATCTGGTGACCTCTCGGGAGCCCCTGAGCCTCAGGTCGCAAACCCCTGCTCTAATCCAATGACACTGACTCCTGAACTATTCCAGACAAGCCGTGTCATTAATGATGATTTATACCTTTAACGTAGAAGCAGTGATGTCATTTGGCCTTACTGTCAAATATCTTAATGTGGGACACTGAAGGCCTGAAGAGACCAGAGACCAGAGACCAGAGACCAGAGTCCAGAGTCCAGAGACCAGAGTCCAGAGACCAGGACTTTATCTTTGTAACCCTGAGACAGTCTGATGTGTTGGACTCTTGCTGCAGATATTTGAGTGTTGTCAATAAGCCTAAAGCTAAAACGCAGACGGGGAAGCGACTCATTTATTATCTGTATCTCCTCATCTTAACTGTCCAAAAATTATAATTAAATCTTATCAACTAAATGAAACCAGTCCAGAGACAAGCTCTGTGTTTAAAAGACACAGTTCCTTCCTTCCAGTTATCTGTGTCAGTTCGATGCAAATGTTTTCATTAATATTCAAATGTCAAGCAACTTTGCCCACAGTCAGTCAGTTCAGCTGCCGATCTGCTGCTGAGGAACAAAGAGCTGGTCTTGAGCTCAGCCGGTGACTCACTTTTAATCTGATTGTGATTTTTCTAAACTGAAGTCGAACCAGATAAAAAAAGAAAAGAAAAGGTGTTGTGGTTCAGATGTCCGTCGGTCAGAGGAGGATCAGACGTGTCCGGCTCTCGCTGAACGGCTCAGCGTGGACGTGAGTCATCAACACTCCTTCCTCTTATCTGGAGACCGTTGTGAAGGTATTCTGGGAGCCGTGTCACAACTACACACCAAACGTGTCATTTCTACAGAGGGCCCGTACGGTTTGTGGACACGGTTCCCACCCAGAAAACAGAGAAGCTGCTCACAGCTGCAGAGTGAAAACTAACCAACAAACATCTCAGAGAACATCCTCCCTTCTCTTGTTTGAATCGTGTCACTTTATTGGTCTTTTGACGGCTCATATTTTACACAATTTCCTGTTGTTGTGAAGTGATTTGAAATCTGAATGTCCAGGTCCCACGTCGGACTGAATCAGTGTCTCGTGTCACGGTTTGTGTTTGTTTGTTTTCCTGACGTACGTGAAGGTTGTTTCTGACAGAATAAAACCAATACAACACACAGCAGTATACAGCATGGGACACATCATACGGGACAGCTCGGACTCCTCACCAACACAGCGAAGTGCGAGGTGCATTAGTATTATGGCGGATAGAGTGCAGAAAATAGAGCCTGCACAGTTTCATACTAACAGAATGATGCAACGCGTGTGGTAACAGCCGCTGTGTCAACACGCTTCTGCAGAACGACTAATGTCAGAAACTTCACAGATGAGTGAAGAAAAACTTTTTCTTAAATGTCTGAAGTCTGATTCACACGAGGATAAAAACAGAGAACGAAAACAAACCAGGAACAAAGTCTCTTTTATACAAAGGGTTCATTTTGTATGTTTGTTTCTGCTCAACAAGGATTCACGACGCTTCTATTAAAGTCTCCATTTTACTTCCTGTTCTAGTTCATTTCTGTTTCCGTGCACAGTGCAATATCGTAAATGGAAAAGATGTCTCGTATTTATCTATTTATTTTCTATCTACTTCCACTCATTTTTATTTTTATCTCTTTCTTTTTGATATGTTTGTGTTTTAGACGCATCTACGAGTTGCAAAAGTAAGTTTGTTTTACTAGAGATGTGTTCTCTTCTATTCTACTCTATTCTATTCATTACATTAACTTTTCATCACATCACAAAAAGCATCAAAATATTGTAATTTTTATAATGTGATAAAACAGAAATGTTGATCTGAATCTGCCAAAATAATTGCAACAGATTTTTTTTTTTTTTACATTTCGTTCAGGCCTCGTTTCACAGATAGAAATATGCCTGTTAGATTTTATTTGATTTTGTTGCAGTGAGTAAAGTAAAAACATCTTTACCTGCCTCCACAGACCATCATACAACAGTTTCTAACCTTTTCACAGAGGTGAGAATCTCCTCTCTTTGTCCATCAACACTCTTCATTTTGTCATTTTTCCACAAACAACAACTTCAACACAAACGTAGAATTTGTGTTTAGTTTGAGGCGGGGACACGAGTTTGACGCATGCTGAGGGAAAGTGGGTTTACATTAAGAGTAAATAAAACATCTAACCCAGAAATAACTGCAGCGATATGATGAATGTCACAAATAAATGATGATATGAGCAGCGCAGAGGATCCGAGGGAGGATTTCTCTGCTTTAAGATGACTCACGACTTTAATAGAGAGCTTCACTTTCATACCAGCAATTATCCTGCAGGAGTAGGCGTCAGTTTTCTCAAACAGTGGATAAATTATCTGAGAGCAAAACTCTGTGTGTGTGAGAGAGAGAACTGAAACTCACACACACACACACACACACACACACACACACAAGGTCACACATGTGTCGATGTACAAATGACCTGAAGGGCTGTTTACTTATCAATAATATGCAGTCGAACACACACACACACACGGACAGCTGCCATCAGTGAGTTCAGAGTGCTGCGCTGCTGCGAGCACTCACAGAGTGTTTACAGCTGAAGCTCGCTGATGTCAGACGGGACCAACAATAAACCTCCAAACACAATCTGGAGCCTCGTGTCTGTGTCATGTGAGCGGGACGTGGACTTACGGCGCAGGCGGGCATGGCGTCGTCCTCGCCCGTGGAGTCCTCCGGATCGTGATGAGCATCCTGTAATCACACACACACACACACACATTGACGCGTTAACACACACCTGATACAGAGGCTTCTTTCACACTGATCATCCATCAGCGAACATTGGTCACATTTATCTCTGTCAGTGTCCATTTTATTAGGTACACCTCCACAGTCTAATGCAATCCAACACCATCACGTCTACTCCTCTGGTGCTAAGTCACAGTTAGCGGTGTTGTTGTACTGGACTGCTTTATTATTGTGTTTCTAATATTCTGCAAAAAAGGACAAAACATTGGAAAGTCCGGGTCAACACTTGAAGATGATTGGCTGAGGATTATCTACAATGCATCACAGACAAGTGTTTGAAAGTCGTTTGCAGACACGAACAGAAACAGCTGGATGCATGTGGACATGAAATAAAATCTGATTAAAGGAGCAGTACTAGGTTTCGGAGGATGCTACTGACGCCAATATGAAGCAAGAACCAAGAACGAGTCATGCACACGATCGTTTATACACTCAACACACGAGATGTGACGTGTTAATTAAGCCCCTTTTCCACTGCTCTAAAAACCCGCTCACATCAGGATTCTGTCAACAATGGGAAAGGGAACCATCGGCATTCACACCCTGGTCAAATGACTCTGCAGTAGACGCAGGTATGTATCGGCTCTGGCTCTGATCGGCAGTGATGTAAACATTTTTCGCCCCTTTTCCTGCTGAGCACCCAGACACTTAGGCACACTGAGATTCAGGGTGAAAGAGTGAAGCTGCAGCCCTGAAATAAGTTTTAAAAACACACAAAGCGTCTCACACGGACGCAGTGGAAAAGGGGTCAGTGATGTTTTACTCTCTGTGTCTGCCATCCATCTCCACCTTTGTTTAAAAAACGGGTATTAAAGGGTGATAGCGAGCTCTACAGGTGCTGGGGGGTAGATTTTATTACCTCAGGACAGACTCGGGCTAGATGTGATTATTTTAACACCATCAAGTTGTTTTTGTGCCTAAACTGATCCAAACCTTTTCCACAGCGTTACTACATCATAAAATGGTTCATATTTACTTTATGTCACTGTTTATCTGTGATATATCTCCAGTGTTTATATTGATATTGTTCGTCCCTCCAGCTGAAGCTTCACAGACTTGGAGAATCTGTGACAAGAAGCAATAAAACTTTAAACTCTTTAAACTACTTTTTTTTAAGCCTTCAGTAGATAACACCTGGAGAGAGGTGACAGAAAAAGATGGAAAGAGCAAGACTTAGCACTTCATGGTCGGCATGCTGAATGCTAAACCACAGGGGGGCACTATGTCGGTTTCCCTCTTAATTTAGCCTGAGAAACATCTGTAGTTGTAGAAATATCTCTAATGAAATTATAAGGAGCTGCAATTCCAGAGTATTCCTTTAATCTGTCAGCCATCTGTATGTTGTTATTATGATCTGTCAGGTGTGAGTGATGGTGAAGATGTTGAATCTACAAGAATTAAATCTGGATGGAAACTGTAAAAAGTGACAAAGCTAATCACTGAATCTCTGAGGTTAATACAGTCTCAGCTACCAGCAGTTTCACTTTAATAGATCAGCCCTAAAAGACCTTCACCAGATAGTGAACTTTACAGTCCAGCTCTCATTTAACGATGTGCAGCAACCATCCGTTCCCTGCTGTGTGTCCACAGCTCAGATCAGGTCTGTGCACACGTTCATTTTTCTGTCACATCAAGGACTGTGCTGCCTACAAAAACCTGTCTCTTATTTTGAAACCCTCTCATCATCATCATCATCATCATCATCATGCCCTGTGAACTAAATCGAGGAGCTGGAGAGAACCTTCTCCAGGCGGTCGCAGCGTGAGATTTATCAGCGAGGACACCGAACTCGGACGGCGTCTACCTCATCTGCTCGGCCAAATGGGAAAACTAAAAACAACAGATATGAATTAGCATTACGTAAGGCAGATTATCAGCCTGTCTGCCTCCCTGCTGGAACAACAGCTGTGATTCAGACACTGATAGCACTGATACTACTGCCCGACAAAAACAATAATAACAATAAAAGCGATTATGGTGATTATTTACTTTCCCGCTAAGTACGGAGCCGGGAGGATAAGCCTGAAATCAGCACAGCAGGGTGACAGGGGGGGGGGGGGCACGGAGGAGATGGATGGCAGACACAGAGAGTGATGGATTATGATGAGGACGAGGAAGAAACATGCAGAGATAGAAGGTGACAGAGAGGACAGGGCTGAGGACGGAGAGGAAAAGGGAAAAGCTCGGGTTTTTCTCAGATGCTGATCCATGAGTTAAAAACATGCAGCTTGTGTCTGATGCAGGAGGTTTCAAAGACTGACAAGAGCAGGACAAAGTGGGACAGAGCGGGACCCTCCCCCTTAGACAGAAGTGAGGAACGCCTGCTCCATGCAATTCTAAATATGGGATAATCATGCTCGTAGTTTTGTAGAAACAGTTTCCATAATTTGGGGCCATGGAGTCAGTGAAGCCTGTATTTGGTCACATTTGGGCAAATTATCTCCATTAAAAGTTGCAGAATTAGCGATTAGCAATGTACACATGGATGTTCAGACAACAGTGTCTGAGTTTGACTTAAAAAAACATGATGATTCTCAGGCAAGTTCTGCGTCATGTTTCTTTGATGTCTAAGCAGATTTACTGACATTAATTAATTATTGACATCACACACATGATATCCACAGGAAGTGTAAGTGACACTGAGTCTAAAAATGTGCGTGCCGTGTGTGTGTGTTCAGATTTGACTGAGTTTTGACTCTGAGAAGAAAGAGAGGTTTTAGGAGCCGACTGCAGCCGTCAGGCACCGAGGGTTTTATAATAACTTATTTTTAATGAGTCAAATTACAATCACTAACTTCCAGCTGTTTCTCGAACATCAGCATGTTCCCGTCTCTTTCACCTCACGCTGCGTCTCTGCCTCCTCGCCTCTCCCTCCTCGCCTCCTCTGCACCGACGTTATCGAGCGCATAATGTCTGAAGCGGCGAGCGTTAAAAACTGTCCGGTACTGAAAGCTGAACACACGTGTCTGCCACATGTCGGACTCCTGGACACCGTCTCCACCTGGTTTCAACATGTGATGCAGCTACACCTGGTATTAATAAGCATTACTGTTGTTACCTCGCGTCTGCCAGCATTGTAATGGGATATTATTATGCAAACAATATGCAGAGCTGGCAGACCTGCCAAGAAACACGGTGCATCGCCGGCCAAGGGAAGTGATGCTGCCGTTTGGGCTTCACTCATTTTTCCTTTACAGAGGAAGGGCTCGTTTCTGGCTTTTTGTCGAGGTTACTCATCTCTGTAATTGTTCCTCCTGTTCCCACATCAGCTGCAGCGGCCTGACGAGTGATTATCTTTGACAGTTAAAGTCATTTTACTACAAAATTTCCCTTTTTGTGTCACCGCAGTGCAGCCAGGAAACACTGCAGAGGGAAACACGAAAAGGGAATTTTACAGTGAGAAGGAAAACACCTGCTTGATTTGTCAGACTCGAAAACCTCTTCGATGCATCTTTGCATAGAAAGAGATCTGTGGATCCTCCATCAAACACACCGGAGTTGTGTTGGGAGGGGCAAGTCCGACCAGGAGGAACAATTACAGTGACCCACATCACTTTCAACGGGTTAAAAAACGCTTCCTTTAAAAATGTAAAACAGCTCAGATTATGTTTAAACTTGTCTGAGATCCAATCACAATATGAATTTTCAGATGTGGTCTCTCTGATTGAAGCATTTCTGATGTTCTGTTTGCATTAACATCTGCATAAACATCTGGGTTTTTTTTTTCCCTCTTAGCTTTGATTCCTGCTTTAAATGCTCAGTTTGTGTAGGAGGAAAGATGTTATCAGCCTGTTTCAGTTTAGACAAATTAAAAACTGATGCTTATGAAAGAGCTGAATGAAAAACAAATCAGATTCAGCAGATTTCAGACGGAAAACAAAAAGAGGATTCTTAGAAAAAACTATTTTACATCACAAAAAAAACGAGGATCATTTTCTCATTTTTCAGATTACCTGTTCGTCAGGTAGAGACTGGATTTGTTTGAATGACGGATGCCTGTTCCAGCTGTTTGATGTTATCTCAACCTGCTGATGAGCCACGCTCCCAGGTGCGCTCAGGCCTGTACCTGAGAACGCTGCCAACACCCAAACACAGCGGGGGGTGAGCTGACGTTTGTTTGTGATCATGAAAAATTCAACCGCAACATGTTTTCTAAGAAACAATGTGCCGGTTGTTTAAGATGATCCAGAAACGTGACTGTGAACAGGTTGGATTAGAAACTATTTATCGGTGAATAACCCAGGGCTGAGTTCCAATAAATCTTTTTTAGTTTAAAGATCTGACGTCGAATCTGAAAATCCCCAGTTCAGGCGACGTGTTCTGACATTCACAGCTGTGGCTGGTTGTTGTCTTTTGTTTTGGTCTCGTGTACAAGGGCTCACTGAGTTGTGTGTGTTGACAGAAACTTAAATCCTGTAGGATCGGTGCTTAGTTGTGGAAAGTAAAGAAATGTAAGTTCGTGCAGCGAGCTCAGACAAGCTCTTCCATATTTACGCAACACTGATATTTACCTGATGTAACTCATTCTACAAGAGCAAATCAAAATGAACTGAAATGTCACTAAAGCTAAAAAAAAAAAACAAAACAAGAAAATGCAGCAACAGATTTCCCAGAGTTCAACAGGACGGCTTTGAATGTCTTGTTATGTCCAAACGACACAAAGATGTTCAACCAAAACTATCAACATGACAAAGATCCCAGGAAATATTCAGGCTAGGGCTAAAACGATTAGTTGATTAATCCATTAGTTGATTAGTTGATCGACTGTAAATTGATCTGTAATGTTTTTAATCATAATTTCTGTCATTTTTCAAGCAAATTTTCTCGTTTCACTTTTAAAATGTGAAGATTTGATGATTTTATTGGTCGTGTGTTAAATATATTTGGATTTTTAACTGTTAGTTGGATAAAACAAGCAATCTGATAATAATCATTTTTCATAAATTAATGATATTTTATACACAAAATAGTTTAATCAGTAATTAAAATAATCATTAGTTGCAGATCTAGATTAATCCATTAGTCGAATAGCCGATCAACTGAAAACTGATCGGGAACTTTGAGCGTTTCTCAGGCGATGATTTTATTTATTCTACATGATATTAAACTGGATGCATTTGGGCTTTAGACAGTTGGATAAAAACAAGCAATCTGATTGTGTCACGTTGCACTCTGGGAAATAATAACAGGCATTTTTTTATACCCAACACAATCCACTGATAATGAAAATGATCATCAGCTGCAGCCTTAAAGGAGACGGTAATAAAGAGTCGCTGCTGCAGCCGTGTTCATCCACACTCATCTTTGTTTCCACATTTTAAAAAGGCAACAGCAGCGCCTCTCTGCTCTTTGTGTGCGCGTTGAATGATCTTGTCTTTAGGGCATAAATCCTCCAGCGCCATGTCCACTTCATTCCACAACTTCCCCACTCACTCCTTTGTGTGTGTTAGTGTGTGTTAGTGTGTGTTAGTGTGTGTTAGTGTGTGTTAGTGTGTTTTGTTCTGTGGTGGCCTAGAAAAAGCCTGTACAACAGCTCTGGCTCTGCTATCAGACACATCGCCGCACGTCGAAGGGCGTCGAGGAGTAACACACGAGTCAAAGGTCAGTTTCATCCAGCAGCACGTTCCTGCCTGGTGGATAGTGAGGTGAGCGGAGGCGGAGTGGGAACGCTGCGAGCAGGTACGAGCTTGTCAGGAGGCCACACAGGACAAAGAAAAAAAGAAAGAGAGAAGCTGGCTGCAGTGACTCAGTGCATTTTTCAGGTTTGATTATACAGAATCTACAGTGACACACACACACACACACACACACAACACAAACAACACACACACACACACACACACACACACACACACACACACACACATGCATGCAGCCATTTCTCCATGCAGCCTTTGTGACACCTCATACAGGAAATGGACACACACACACACACACACACACACAAAGACGTAAGCTCTTCCTGAATCATGCGTTCGCAGTGGCACCGCCTCCTGCTCTTTATCAAGATTCAAAAACTTGTAGGAAGGAAGAACCGAAGAAACAACACACTCACACAGGAGCTGTTTTTGTTTCAGTCTCGTATCTCAGTGTTGGAGACAAAGACGTCTCTGCACCACATGAATCCCACACTTTCACTTTGTCGATTTGCATCGACTGATGTTTTTGTGTTACACCAAAAAAATAAATCCCAACGTAAATCACATCAAATCAAAACCACTATGAAGTGACTTACTCAACATTGATTTGACTATCACCTCAGGGTGCTTCTATTCACATACTGCATCATTTGAAGTTTGTTTGTACAAGGTCACTATCTAATTGATTTCTCAGGCAAACATGCCAAACATTATCACGCTCGAGCGACTAAACTGTGAAGAGAAAAGCAAGAGAAAAAAAACACACACACTTCTTCTTCACATCTTTCATTTTCTGCTCATATATAGACTACATGATTAACGAAACATAAGCGACTGAAAATACTAACACCAGTTAATAAATGTATTTAGGGTTAGGGTTAATAAATAAGCACATTATAGTGCTACAAGTATTTATGTACTGTTACAGGACACACAAATATGAAAGTACAAGTTTAAATTGACTTTAAAATACAAATGTGTTGCACATATTTGGTAGTTTATAGCCTTACTACGGTAGGTTATGGTTTGTGTCTCCCGTGATGCTACGTCCATTCAGTCTCACAGCGTGTTGGTTTATGCAGCTTTTTAATCACATTTGGTGTCACTTTAACGTCCTTACAGCAGCTTAAATGGTCGCTGAAGCTGCGGCTGGCGGTTTAAGGCTTCTCTGTTCACATGACATCATTTAAAGTCTCTATATGCTCTTATGGTGCTCACAGAAGTGACATATTCTGTAGTTTGTAGTGGTATTGTGGTTCCTGATGTATTTGTGTCTGCTGTAATATTACTTTAACACTTGTACAGCAGTCTTACAGCAGTACACTTGTACCCTTGAGATAGTGTGCTGTGTTTTTAATAATCTAATCTGGTGTCACTGTGATGTCCCCACAGAAGCTTAAAGCATGGCTGCTGCTGTCATCATCGTCTAATAGGGACTTTAAGGTGACTTAGAAGAGCTGATTTATAATGAGTCACAATCGAGCTGAGAGTGAGACTACAATTTATGGCCTTTTCAACCTCACTATTTAGATTAAAGTCCGTTTATCATTTACTTTTATATTTTTTTACTTTAAAGGGTTAGTTTAAAGGGTAGCTAATCTACTAACATTAACCATACTGTCATATATTTCTACTTCTATCACATTTACAACATCCTATAGAGATGTGTAGCAGATATCTGGTATTTTATAGTATCTGTGTATCCTGTAACACTACTTTAATATGTTTGTGTATTAATTTGGGGTCACTATAATGTCCTCAAATAGGCAATAATAATCTAATCTATTATATATACACATATTTGGTCCTGTATCTGTGTGTCCTGTAATACTACTACTAACACTTCTATATAAAGTATTGCAGCATTTTTGTGTACTCAGTGATATTATGATGCTTTACAGTGTATTTTAATCAAATTTGGTGTTAATTAATCTAATCTAATTGTCATTTTCTTGTTTTTGGAGGTTGCTGTACTGTCTTTACAGGAACTTAAAGTGTGGCTGCAGCTGTTGATAATGATCTAATCTAATTGTCACCAACTGTCCTGTCACATTTCTGTACTTAAATAAGAGTTTTAACCTCACAGCTTAGCAATTTAACACGGCTATTACACCCATATAGAGATTTTTAGCACATGTTTGTTAGTTTACGCTGACACGATGGTACTTCATATTATCTGTAGTATTAATTAACTTCTACACAGAGCATCACTGTGGTCTTAAGATACTTTAAGCTGTATTTTAATCACATTTAGTGTCTTTAAGAGAGGCTGCAGCTGTTGTATGCTAGCATTAAATGTCCCCCTGTGTGCTGTAGTCAGTGTGTAGTATCTCTGCTAGTTACTGCAGCCCGAGTCAAAGTCACTCAACTGTCAGTCAGAGTCTGTCTCCCGGTGTGTTTGAATGTGACCGTCTCACCTCTCCCGCCGTCCCCCCCAGAGGCATCTTCTGCCAGGGATCCGCCAACTGAGCCAGGGGCATCTTTCCCTTCTTCTCCTCCCTCTACTTTTTCTTGTCTTCTTCTTCTTCTTCTCCTTTTTTATTCCTCTTTTTCTGCTCTGGTTTGTCGTCCGTCCCCTCGGTCGACACTTTCAGTCCAGCCTCTTTCTTTCTTTTCTTTCTTTTCTTTCTGTCTTTTCTGTCTTTTTTCTCTCTTCTCTTTTTTTCTCTTCTTTTAAATGTTTTTTTTTTTGTTTTGTTTTTTTAAAGCTCCCGTCCTCGCGCTCGTGTCTGTCGGCTGGAACCTAAACCGCCGCGGAGTCCACCAACCGACCGACTGACTGACCGACCGATCGAGCCGAGCCGAGCCGAGGGAACACGGGCTGATTCCGGATCTGCTGTGGCGCTCAGACCGCCCCTTCCTCCGGAGAGACAGACATGAGAAAGGCAGAGAGGCGGACGCCCTTTTTCGGAAACTGATTGACTCAACACACGAGTTATCTCTCTATCTGCTCCTCTCCCTCTCTGTCTCTCTATCTCTCTCTCTCTCTCTCTCTCTCTCATTTCCGTTGTTTCCCAATATGGCGGCCGGTGTCGGCTTACCTGTCCGTCAGACTGCTGCGTCACGCCTGCGTCACGTCAGGAGGCGGCATCCTTAGGTAATAAGAAAAGTAAACTTACAACCACTTTGGCTTAGATTTTATCCTGAATTTCTATTAATAGAGAAAATAAGATTCACGATCATTTCATAATTCTGTCAAAAAACAAGCAAAATCATTTGGTATAAGTATAATATCCAAAAATATTTATATACAAACTCAAAACCTGTCTGTCTTGTCGTTATTGATGAAACCAAACAGTTTCTGACATAATCTTTCAGTCAAACAGTAAGAAAGCTGTTTAAACAACTAAAGTGTAAAAGTGAAATTTCCTGTTTGACACAAAACAACCACAAACACTCAAGACAACCGTGAAGACACACAAAATGAGCAGAGAGAGAGATAGAGAGATAAAAAATGACGTCAAAAGAGATGAAAAATTAACACAAAGACACTGAAGTCAACCGTACAGACACACAAAACAATTACAAAGGGACAAAAATTACCAGAGAGACCAATAATTACCACAAAGAGACACAGAATTTAATAAAGAGACATAAAATGACCAGGGAGATGAGCAGAGAGACACGGGGCGATTACAAAGCTGTATCATGTGTTAGTGCATCACTGTGTCACAACTGAATGGGAAGATTTTCATTAACTGTCCATAAAGGATTATAGTAATAAAACTTCCCATTAGATCAACCTGCTGTTCCTCACTCCGTGCCGTTTGGTTTCCATGACAGCGGATAAATAAATAAAGCTGAATCTAAAGTCTGGTGGTGACACACAGTGGAAGGAGGAGGAAAACAAAACTCACATGGTTCAATGTCAATTTTTTTTATTTTTTTTTTACACATTTTAAGTTAAATTTTTGATTAAATGGTTGGTAATATTATCACCAAAATCATACTGCTTCATATCCAAATAGCTTCTTTTAAAAATTAAAAGCGCCTCACTGTGTCAGCTGTGAGGTCTCCGACAACTTAACAAATCATTTTATATTTGCTAAGAAACTCAGCTTCTGGTAAGACTTAAAAAAAAAAAAATACAGACACAAGAAACAAATATTTTATCTCCCAATTTCTTTCTGTATTTATTTTAAAGCCAAACAGTCTTTCAGCTCAACATACACACAAAGAGTCAAGTAAAGCTTCATATCTGTACAAGCTCATGGTCAGAATCTGAAAACAGGAGCAGGAAATAAGTGTAACACAGCTTGAATTGCATCTTTACATGTAGCAGAGACATAATTCTCCTTAAATTCAAGTCCTGAAAACTGTAAAAAACTAAATTATATCAGAGTGCATCTACTCTTCAAACATGAGCTTCTTCCATCTTCTAATGCAACAACTGGAGTCTGATGTTTAAACATCTGTCTCACATGTAGAGATCACTCTGGGTTGTTTGTGTGAAGTGAAGCAGCTGGTTCATGTTTGAAGGTTCAGGTCAGTAGTTTCCTGCTTTGCCACTGTAACCGCTCTGAATAAAAGCATCAGCTGACGGCAGAATATTTATCTTAGGGTAGTGATCTCCTGTTAAAATATTGGCGGACAGCTCTGCTCAGCATCATCTTAAAACTCACATCACATGGTTAATTCCTTTAACTCCATAAATACACACACACATACCTTTAAAGTCATAGCTCATCTTGCTCTGTAGCGTTTTTAAAAATGTTTTCACTAAAGCAAAGAGGTCTGAAGAAAGTCACAACACTCAGCAAGTGATTGATTGCTTTAAAAAAAAAAAAAAACTGTGACTTTATAATTGAATTTCTCAAAGTTGGAAGTGATTTCTCGTGTTTCAAACACCTTCTGCACGTATTCATCCCACTTTCCCGCACTTTTAAAAGCTTAAAAACACCTGCAGAACGCTGGATAAACATGGAGGTAATTCATATCAGACATGTCACAATGGGAAAAGAAAGTTTAAAATGTGAAACTTTAACTTTTGTGCGTATATTGTGCAGCCCTGCTGTAAATAAAACCTTTAAAGTACACACAGTGCGCTCAGAGGAATGGCTCATCTTCTCATTTTCAAACAGTCTCCGGCTTGATGATGGTACAACACCGACTGGTCAGATATACGGCAGGACAGAGCAGAACAAACATACAGACGAGGAATAAATCTTAAATATTTCTATATAAAACTATAAATAAATAACACTGACAGGTTTCAGGTCAAAGCTGAGTCCCATTAAGGTGCAGGAATGCTGAGCTCTAAAGTCGAGGGAGGATGTGCTGATCGTTTCTGGATATTTGTGGAGCAGTGAAAGGGCCGTGTTTAGTACTGGGGGTTGGAGGTTAGAAGGTCGGTGTGTACACGTTATTCTTTGGGTGTGTGAAGTGCGAGTCTAGCTGATGGACTTGAGTTTGGCCCAGGGGTGCGTCCCGCGGACCTCCAGCGGCGGGCTGTTGGAGAAGATGTGGTTGCACAGCTCCTCCAGCGGCGGCTCTGGATCTGATGTGGCAAACTGAGCCGCGTCCTCCACCTGCTTTCGGATCTCGATGTCAATTTCCTGACGAGAGAAATTTGTATTAAAAAACACTGACGGCTCATTTATTTATTTATTTCTAAATGAAAACCTCATCTGAACCAGACAGAGTTTTTATTGTTTGAAACTCTGAGGAGACGTTGCCGTGTCCTGTCTGTGGTTTAAGCACCAGAAGCTGTTTTGATTGGTTTTGGTTCAATGTAAATAAATACTGTCTGAAGTCATTGAACTTTTTCCTGTAATAAATCAAACCAGGATCTTTCTGACTTTAACAAAGAGCTGAGAGTCTGAGCAGAAGCATAAAGCTGCAGTCTCTACAGGTGGAGACTGTTCTGCAGGATCACATGTTTTGGTGTCTGAACATTTTACTCACACGTTCAGTATCAAACATATTTAATATCCTGTCAAACACATGAATTAACATTTCTCCAAAACTGCACTGGTGTTGGTTACTGGAGTGAAGGATCAGTACATTCTTACACTGTAGATGACAGACGACATCAAACCGGTGAATGTTTCCAGTGAAAGAACTGTTACCTGATGACACTGGAATAACTGGATCATCCAGTTATTTGAGACACGTGACCATCAGGTGTTCAACTGAACGTCAGTGACGGTTTTTAGCTCGGACAGATTTCGTAAGTGAAACATTTGAGCATTAACTCAGCTGGTTTCAATTTACAATTTACAGAAGGAGGTAAGAAAATCTTTATGTTGCGTTTTTGGCTAAAATGAAGGAACATGAGTTTATTATTTCGAGACTTAATTCATGTGCTGATAGAATTGTTTTATATAGAGAGATTAATGTTTGAATCTAATGTTTTTATTTGATAAGTTCACCTGTATTTATGTTTTACTAAAGTCAATAAACCAAAGCATCCAACGATGAATCCTCAGACATCAGCTCCGTCTGAATCATGTCAAATGTCCCTTCAGGTAACAGAATCTTTTCACACACACTTCATCTGAAACGCACTGGTTTTAAATTTCTCCTTCGTCAGTGGAATAAAACACGACCAGCGTCAGATCAGAGATGTTCTTTTTTTGTTCTGCCCATTTATCATTCAGATAACGATTCGAGCCAAAAGAGAAACGATGCGAGGTCAGATATGAGTTCATATAAATGTGTAGGTGCCTCTGTGGTTCAGCATTTCCATTTACATCATGTTGGAGTTTCTTCTAAGAATATCTCCTCCTTTGTCAACATCCTCCACCGATCTTCTCAAGAAATTCTGACGGGGATTTTTTCTTTTCTATTTCTTTTTAAAACCAGAAATGACAAAGGGACAGTTCCCACGAGTGTAAGCTGAAACTTAATGCATCTTGTTGACCTTTTTTTAAACAGTGAAGTCCCAGTGTGATCCAAGTGTGCAGCTACACAATGAATCAAATGTTGTATTCCTCTTTGTAGTCACACGTCGCACTAGTAAGTTTCCATTTCCCGTCAGCATGAGCACCAGTGGTTTAATCGTATCAGGGTCAGAGTTCAGACGGCCTGTGTCTATACCAACACTTGTGGTATTTGTGGGTTGTCAGGTGCCCACTTTGTTTCTGCAAAATCTACTGCAGCTCAGAGGACGGTGAAAAACAAACGGAGCTGAAGCAGCAACACAATTAATATAAACAGATTAAAACTATTATTTTGAAAGTTATTGATGAAACTATGATTTAATATTTATGCTGTAAATGTCAGAGGTGCAACATCAATCAGAGCAGTGTCATGAAGAAGAACAGATGTTTGATACTGAGGTTCTGTCGTAGTTGAGTGATGTTTGGATCTGCTCGCTCTCTCTCTCTCTCTCGCTCGCTCTCTGCAGGTCGTCATGTGGACTGTAGTCTGACTGGAGTTTGTGCGAGTTGTGAGCACTCACCTTGAACTCCTCCACAGACGCCATGTTGTTGGTGAGCATGCGCTCTTTCAGCAAGGAGATGGGGTCGCTCTTACTGCGAACCTCCTGGATCTCCTCACGAGTGCGGTAGCTGCAGGAGGTCACATGACACTTTGAATAAATAAACCAACGCAGCTTTTTCACTTTAGAAACATCATCATTAACAGGAAGGAAGCAAGCTATGTGTTATAGGTGACTGATGACACCTGATGAGCGAGAATATGAGCTGTTAGAAATTTGAGAAAGAAAAAGATTCACAAACAGTTAATTTGCAGTTTACTTAGATTTTCCAGTGACGTCACCTTGTCTGCTGATTCATATAAAACCTCTGAGTCTTTGGTGAGAGAAAACCTCTCACCTGGTCACTCAGGGACGGATGAGTAATTAGTTAATAACAGGAGAAAAGGGAGGAAATGACTGTGTGGATGAAGGTGAAGCAGAGACTAAATTAAAGAGAAGAGAAGAAATAACAGAATCAAGTCAGTGTTAAAGATAGCTCACCTGACCCCGGGGTCACTCATGCTGTGCCCATGGTAACGGTAGGTCTGCAGCTCCATTATAATGGGACCCTGAAAACACACAACAGGTCATTCCCCACACACACACACACACACTCTGCTGTGGACCCTCACAACCCCTCACAGCTGTCTCACATCTGTGTGCACTGGATAAAATCTGTAAATAATTCTCTCAGAATTGGAGCTACGTTGTGAACAATGTCTAATATGGGTCTGTTACAGGCAAAGCTGCACAATTAATCTGAAAATGATCGAAAACCGACGTTAAAGGAAAATGTTTGTTTGGTACAAGAACAGAAAACAACCAGTCGAACTGAAATCACGATATCTGCCAAAATAATCAGAATATGAAGGTTTTTTTTGCTTATCGTGCAGCCCTAGAATATAATGAGGATTAATGATGGGAGCTGTGATACTGCAGGGAAAAGAAAAGAAATAAATGTCATGCGCAGATTCAGGACGTGTCGTCTAGCTGAAGTGATAATAGGAGGATGTGGGGACGGAGCTGTGAAGAGGATTCTGGGAGGTTTTCTGGTGAGACTGTAGAGACAGAGAAAAAAGGGGGAAACTGTAAACCCATCACACATTTTAACCCTGGACGTTCTCCTCACCTTTCCTGATCGGCAATGATCTGCAGCGAATTTGGTGGCCTCTCTGACACACAGGACATCCATCCCATCCACCTACGAAGAGGAAACACACAAGACAATAAGGAAGTGTTGAAACAGAAACAAACAAATGAGCAGTCTCGGTTCAGAGGCTCACAGGTTTTCCTGTGAGTGGTTTGTGCGCAGTATCATACATGAGCATCAGACAGCTGTATGCATGCTCACACCTGCAACTGCCAGGACGGATCATCAGCCTCCTGTTATAGTCTCGGTCCACACAGGCCAGCTGCAGCGTACGGCCCAGACACACTGCAGCTGCGGCCCAAGACCGCCGTGTTTAACCACATCTGACATCATCAAAGTCCAGGATCACAGTGAGATCTCTTTAACTACAGAGCTGCCTAAATCAAAGGGAGGAGCATCTGCAGCCTCATGTGTCTGTGGTGGTGCGTTTGTGTCTCACTCTGATTCCTGGGATGTAGTCTCCTCTCTTGTAGTAGTCGGTGCTGGCTGAAGCTCTCTCCACCGACGTCCCCATGCCGTACTTGTTGTTCTCGCAGATGAAAATACAGGGCAGCTTCCACAAGGCGGCCATGTTGAAAGACTCAAAGAGCTGACCCTGATTGATCCAGAGAGGACAGGGGTCCAGTTGAGCAATGTATCCATATCAACATCAACATATTTAGGAAAGTAAATAAGTAAATAAAGTAATAAAGATAGTTTGTGAATTTTAACTGCATCTCTCCAATCAGGAGGTTTTTCTACGTCTTACCTGATTGGCTGCTCCGTCTCCGTAGAGCGTGACACAGATCTGATTGTTGCCTTGGTACAGACAGGCCAGAGCGATACCTGCTCCCAGAGGAACCTGGGTAATTTACCAGCAGAGAAAACTTAGAAGAACTGGAGAACTGGGTTCATCATATTGAGCTTTCATACAAATCAAGAGAGAATTAATGACCAATGAACCAATCAATATCTAATCAATAACGAACTGTCAGCTCTGACAATAAAGTCATGTTCTTTTCTGTAGACATTACTTCTGTGTGTGTGTGTGTGTGTGTGTGTGTGTGTGTGTGTGTGTGTGTGTGTACCTGTGCTCCCACAATGCCGTTGCCTCCATAGAAATGAGGGGCGTACATGTGCATTGAACCTCCTTTGCCTTTGGCCACGCCCCCTTTACGACCTGAGGAGGCACATAGAAAAGTGAAGGGATGAACCCTAGAACCGCTTCAGGCCTGTAAAGGTGAGAGTCTGTGACCCCTCCCTCACCTGTGAGCTCCGCCAGGATCTCTTTGATGGACACGCCGCGGGTGAACGTGTATCCGTGGGCGCGGTACGCCGTGATCAGGTGATCAGAGGGGGTGATGGCTGCCTCGATGCCTGCAGCACACGCTTCCTGTGGGCGGAGACAAACCTCATCACATCTCATTCATTTATTCAGAAATGTAATCTGTGTGAGCATGTTCGTACCTGTCCATCATACAGGTGACAGAAGCCTCTGATGATCTTCTGTTTGTACAGCTGATCGGCTTTCAGCTCCATGCGCCTCACAGTCTGCATGGTGCGGTAGTACTGCAAACCCTGATCCCGAGTCAGCTCCGCCTTCAGCGGAGGACCGTCCTCCAGACGGTGCATGTCGCATTTCTGTTGACCAGGACAGTGCGGAAAAAAATATAAATATAGATCGATTCTTTTATTTTAACCAGAAAAAGTTTTTTTTTTTTTTTTTAAATCCACAATGCAAACTTCAAAATCTGCATTAAAAACACACTGATTGTGAGATCTTTGTTTGAACTTGCCTTGATGTCAAAGGTCGCCTGAGGGGTGAAGTCAGCGAAGGAGCGGGAGACCACGACTCTGGTGCCCTGGCAGACAAGACGACACACTGAACATTTATTCAAGCTCCCCGGTGGTTTAACAAATAAAATCACTGCAGCAGCAGCAGCAGCAGCAGCAGCAGCAGCATCATGACGACAAGCACACAGTCTTCCACACAGACAGCGTGAGGCCTGCCCTCCTCTTCACAGCAGATGCAGGGTTAGTGGGTGTAGAGAGGCTGGGGATCAGGTTTGGTTCTGGTGGTTCAAGCTGGACTAGACTGTAACTACAGCGGTGATATGTGGAGGTCAGTAACAGGGAGGGAGAGTAACAGCAGCCCGGACTTCAGACGCTCGTTTACTCCTCTAACCACTGGTCAACATTACTGCTAATGTGCTGTTATATAAAGGGAGATGATTCACCAAAGTATTTGCCAGATATGAGGCATTTCTTTTCACTATTCTCTGTTAATGATGTAACCACATGCATGTTTAAACACAAGACAGTTCTCAGTGTTAAATAACAAATGTTATATGAATACTCTGAACACAACGGGTGTTCATGATCGTGATCTAACATGTGATGGATCCATTTATTTCCTCCTGACACGTCTGAAATGTTACTTGAGCTGAAGTTTTATTTTTTTTTTTTTTATTTTAAACCATTTCCTACTTCGACAGACTAAACAGTTAATCGATTAATGAAAAATAAAAGGCTGATTCACAGAGACATGAGGGTGATCGTTAGTTGCTGCCCTGGTTTTACAGTTGATCTGTGAAATGTGGGTGTTCAACCTTCATCTTCACTTAGCAATTAAATATATTCTCCAGGAGAAAAAAAAGAAAAAGAAAAGGAGGGGACAAGGACCCAGTTACCCAGAAACAGAAGGACATCACCACTAACTGTTTCTTTAACATGTTATTTTCCTTTAATTCAGATTGTTTCCAACCCCCGTTAGTGACAGGCAAACATGGAGGATGCTACTCGTGTTCTTACTGGAGTGTCTAGCGCGTCGGCCTGGGAGCTAACTAACTGTGCCACAGATGCTCTAGTACTGACTGGTGGTGGTTTAGGTGGTTGTCGCTGGGTCGTTGCCAAGGCAGGCGCCGCCGGTGAGGTTAGATTGACGTACTCTGACAGGTCAATCAGCAACTGGGGAACACAGGAGCCAACCAATCAGACCAGAGCACAGCACAGCACAGCCAGAGCAGCTCTACAGAGGCTACAGGAAGACGAGACGTCTACGGGTGAAAACAATGGACACAGACATGATGACTTCTGTCTTCTAGAGACTAAAACATGGAGGGAAAACATGGAGACTGTGCGCCGGCCCAACAGTGTCTACACTTCAGCTGATACTTCAGGACTGGCACAACATTTTAATACATTTACCTACAGAGTGACGTCATTTTCTATCAGATTAATGTGAAAATGACTGATCAGTAATCAATTCATGATAAAAATCATGTTTGAGGAACTTAATTAAGGGATAAGTTTTTAAGCAGGTAACAAGGTTGAACCGTGCTACCACTGAATTATAGGTGATAATATTCGTAAATTCAATACATAAAGAAAATGAAAATAAAAAGACAAGATTCATGTTTGGAACGGGCACTTTAAACGAAACTTAAACCTAAACTTAAAATGAGAATGAGCTGTACAGATGGGGAAAATCATTTTTGATATTTATGGTGATTTATTTTAGCTGTAGCAGTTTTTCTGGTTTAGAAGCACGTTAGAAAAGCTCCTATGGAAACAACATCACTGCAGAGGGGAGGAGGCGTAGGACCGGGCCTACAGACAAACATCAGCAGAGTGACGAGCTGCTTACCTCAGACACTGTTTGGGCTCCCTACGGTTCAGGCGAGGGGGAAGGGGGAGAGGAGGGAGAGAAGCAAGAAATGAACAGGGATTGTCGTGAGTGTGAGTGAGTGAGTGTGTGTATGTGTGTGTGTGTGTGAATAAACAGGGAGAGGAGGCAGGAGGGAAAGAGTGACAGCCAGTTCAACACGAAGCCGAAGAACAACAGGGTTCCTACAGTCACCTGGAAATCAAGCGTCTCGACTCTGAAATGTCTCAATAACGAAAACATGGTTTGTTTGTAAAATCAGGCATAAACCTGCCTGAAAGAAATCATGAATAGGATTTAGAATTATTTTTAAAAAACATGCCTGTGGAGACCCTGTTGTCACCGACACCACAGCACAGACACAACATGCTGCTGCCAGTGCTATGACTTCTGCTACTGAAGCAGCTATACTATATCAAGCATAGAGAATATGGATGCACTGATGTGTTCTTACCGAAACCAATATCCGCCATTTATCCACTTATAGCTGCTGATCGACTGACATGTGATTGTCTCGCTGAGCATGCAAGCACATGCAGCAATGTGTAGCTTTCACACTGTTCATTGTTACTCTGTTCTACTACAAGAAGAAAATTCAGTCCGGGAAATAGTAAAAATATCAACAAGGTTAAAAATGGCTTCCGCTTCACTCCGTTTTCTCCACTTAAATTAATTTAGAACTGTATGCCATGGAAGCATGGGATCAGCTGAGATAACAAAACAAGCTCTTCTCAGGGCCCTTGTGTCTGTGGATACTGTGCTTATGTAAAGGATATTCCCAAACTCTAGAGCTGAAACATTCAGTCAATAAACTAAATTATTATTTATTAAAAATTATTAAAATTAAATATTAAAAATTATTGGCAACAAGTTGATTACAAGGCATTTTGGACTCAATTAATCAATGTTAATAGATAGTTTTCACTTTAAAAAAATCACCAAAATTTTATTGTTAAAAAGTATTTAAGTTCCTAATATTAAATCTAGTGCCTGTTTAATGATTTAAAGTGATATAACAAGTGGAAGCCAAGTTTAACCTTGTTAGTAGCAGTAAAAAAAAATAGTCACTGTATTGATACTTGGGGTGCATTTTAAAGCTGATATCGGCCAATATTGATCATATCAGTGCATCTCCAGCAGTGAAAGCTCTTTTTCTGCTTGAGGAAGGCAAACCACAACCAGAGACAACAAAAAAAACAAAATTAAGATTAAAGACAGAAACATAAAAATAAAAATGGCCGTTCCCGCATTTCCACATCTTCTTCCCGTGCACAAGCTGCGTTTTACCGTTAAACCAATCAATCATAAACGTGCTCGAACATTATATATCCGACCAAAATATTTCTTAAGCAACTTTAGAGCAAGAGAGTTAAACCAGCCAGGAACATGCTAACGTTAGCCGCTCACAAGGTCAGCCCCAGGCCGAACGTTTCCAGGCTAACTAACGGTTAGCATGGACCAGCTCGGCTCACAAACGGCCTCCAGCTCGACGTTAACCCGGGACCACTCACCACATTCCTGCCAGTGATCCGACAAAGAGCGTTGGAGATGATGGTTAACATATTTTGCATGCTACTGAGCTGCGACCGGTCTCTGAAGGGATTAATTAACGGCTCTAAGGCGCGGTAAGCTGCTAAATACTTTGTTAGTGTCCGTCCCAGAAATGCGCTCGGTGAAAACTGGCTGAGCAGAGCATTGGTTCCGCGAGGCTTTTATAGATGCCTGCAAATAAACCTTCGCTTCTTAAAACAAAAAAGCTGCATTAAAATCACTGTAAATATAGAAATATATAATTAAAGACAACAAAAAAATTATATAAGATGTGAATAAGCGGGATGTTACTAATTAAAGGGACAAACCGTAAATTTTGCAGGGCAGAATAGAGAATATAGGCTTGTTTTTTCAACAAAATATTCAATTATTTTAATGAAAAGTTTCAATTCCTTTAAAAAAAACATAAAAGTGTGGTATCTGAAAATTTGCATCTGTGTATTTGGCGCTTGGCTGTGCTGTATAATTAAATTAGATTAACCTAAATTTACATTTTTATTTCTACATTTATTACAAATGTATTTATATATTTATTCCTACACATATTTATATATTTATTTATGTCTGTATTTATCTATTTCCACATTTTATATTCATGAATTTATTGTTCTACATTTATCTATTTGCATTTATTTATTGCTTCTATTTGATTAGATAGATAGATAGATAGATAGATAGATAGATAGATAGATAGATAGATAGATAGATAGATAGATAGATAGATAGATAGATAGATAAATCACTTATATTAGAACATAAAGAAAGAAAGGAAACAACAACATCTGTATAGTCAGGATAAATAATTCATTTATTGCATTTGAGTAACTTAAGGCTAAAAACAATGACCCCATCGTTCCTTTCGCAGCTGTCAGACACATCCAGGATAAAGCTTCCCATTCCAAACAAAAAAACAAAGTAAAGGCGTTTGTGCGTGTAAGCGACAGTAAAATATAAAAATGTAACAGATTTTATTGTAGCGTCATGCACACAGTGAACCAGAGATTCATGAGGTTACGACAAGGACAGAAAACCAAACCTTTGTTTCATTTTCTTCTGTAAAATGTGACTGCAGAGACGCTGTAAACGCTGACTGGTTGTCAAACAAACAGCTTGGTATAGAAAACTAAGTGTGAAAGAAAGAGTAAATAAAATAGAAGCTGTCTTTTTGTTTCTGCTGTAGTGATCCAAACAACAGTTAACGTAAACCACCAGAACAAACAATGTAACAGGAGTCAAAATGTCACCAGGTGGGTTGTGAAAAATGTGCAAAGCGTGATATAAAATGATATACTAATGGCAAACGAACACACACACACACACACACACACACACACACACACACACACACATACACTCTTAGACCTCATTGGTCAGACGCTGAATGGCTTTAGCAGGAAGTAGATTTGATCTGTCAGTGCTCCACAGTTTGGTTAAAGTGTCTCTTTCCGTCCAGGTACAACATCGACTCTGTCAGACAAACACAAAAACACCAGCATCAAATGTTTCAGACGGTAAAGTAACACAGCATTTATTTACTTTTGTTATATTTGTATTTAAATTTAACAAGTTGTGTGTGTGTGTGTGTGTGTGTGTGTGTGTGTGTGTGTGTGTGTGTGTGTGTCTACCTCCATATGTCTGTGGGATGATGTTGGGGACGTCGCGGTCTGAAGCGAAGGTGAAGTGGAAGACGTTGGTGGTGTTGTGCTGGCGGGTCAGCGGGTCGAACACCTCGCTGTGAACTCTGACCTGGATGTACTTCCCCTGCGTGTAACACACCTGAAACACACAGACACACACAGACACACAAGTTGAAAAACTTCAGTCTTCAGATGCAAACTATTTACAATTTATAATTTACTAACCTTAACCCTGAGTTAGAACCAGGACACACACACACACACACACACACACACACACACACAGACCTGTGACGAGAGCAGCAGCAAGGAGCCGATGTCCACGGGCTTCTGGAAGAGGATGTCATCAACAGCCACCAGAGTTGGTCGACATCCTCTGCAGCACACCAGGGGAGGGGGCGGGACTCAGTTTAAAACTTCACGCCAAACAAACGTAAATAATTCTGCTCTGAACGCGGTCACATGATCAGAATCTCTCACCCGTAGGAGCAGGCGTTGGCCCAGCCCAGCTCGTACGCCTTCCTCATCAGGAAACCTCCGAATATCCTGTTGAAGATGTTTCTCTCCTGGTCACATCAAACACACAAACGGATTTAACCTCCACTCACTGTTTCGACTGTCAATCACCATATTCAGTTTAGAACAATATAAACACAGAAAAAAGCAACTAATCGTCACATTTAAAGGCTGAAACCAGAGAATGTTTGCATAAAGAAATCATTGAAACAACTAATTGATTATCAAGATAGTTAGTTTGTTTTTTTTTCACCCATTCAACTGATTAATTAATCAATTTCAGCCTCAACTTGAAACAATTAAGGCTGAAATTGTGAAATAATCTTCACAAAATGGCAATTTTATCTATTTAAAATGAAATCTACAACCACAATAAAAAGTGCAAGAAGTGACAGGGTGTGAAAACTTTCTGAAGCTCCTCCACATTTAATATAGAAATGAACATTAGTGTTTTTTATTCTGTTTTCCAGCTGTTCCCTGCTCTCACCTGCGGGTGGCAGATCTCCAGTCCTTTCAGTTTGCCGTCTTCCATCCACGCTGAGTTTGGAGGCAGAACTCTGCTGCGGAAACTCACCGTCCTGTTGGAGGAGACACAAACACACGGTCGAATACTACGAACCATCAAACCTACAATAACAATTTAACACCTATTGTTTGAGCCATTTAAATATTTTGTTGATGTACAGCCACGGGAGCCGGACCACCTGATGATGTCACCGGTGGCTCGGGTTAAATAATGTTTCTGGATTTTGTTCCCAAGCTTTGACCTTTCAATCAACAAACTTCAATTTAAATAAAAAGGGAAAGTTGAATCTGGTGCAACTAAACTCTTATCAAGTGCATGTATAATTTCATTATTTCTCAGCCGTACTTTGAATCCAGGGTGTTGAGGAAGAGGCTGTGGACGATCTTCCTCTCCTCATCTGTAGGAGCAACCTTCAGCAGCGACGCCGTGCTCAGCTCCACACGGCGAGATTTATTAGCTGGGAAACACGATCACACGATGCAGGAAACAGAGAAGAGGGAGAGAAAAGGTCATAATCATCTAAAAGGATAATATAATATCATCTTAACCATGGTGATAAAATCAAACATACCTTCTCCTTCCTGGAAGATTTTCTCCTCCTCTGGTCCGTCCGGCTTCAGAGGATTTACAAACGCTGCCCTGAAACAAACAGGAAGAGAGAGTGTAAACAGACTCCACACACTGACACTGACCCTCAGCGGCAGTTCATTCTGTTCATTCTGTTCATTCTGTAAATCCCCATCAAACATCCCAGCGTCAGTCCGTCCGCCGGGGTCCTCACCTCTTGTTCTCCGGGTCCCGGGCAACCATGACAAACGTAGCATCCAGGACTGGGGAATAAGCTCCATCGCGGTACTGCAGGAAGAACAGGCTTTACTTTATGGTTTATGTTTCATTTCAGGAAGATATCTGAGAGCTGATCTGCTGCATTTGTGATTCTCTTGATGTTGAGTTCTGATTTCTGTCACCTGTCAATCAAACAGTCTGGGCGGGACCATGACAGTTACTTTTGCACTTATCCTGGTGAAACTTGGGTTTTTCTGTTGGTGGTTACCTGTTTGTGTGGACTCTCTAGATGTAACACAAATATAATAAATGCATAATATAAATACTGTCTGTGTCTGAGTGTGTGCAGGTGTGTGTGTCTACCTGTGACATGTGCATCTTGGCTTCAATAGACGTCTTTCCCACCCACGTCACATGACCAGTGAACTTGATGTCGCAGTCGGGATAGATGATGTGCTGCCTCATGTCTGAACAACAAAAAAACAAAACAAAACAAAAACACATCAATATTAAGGTGGAACGTCCTTCACTGTTTCCTGGAGGCCGAGGTGACGTCTTCAAACGTCTAGTTTTGTCCAATCAAGAGTCAAAAACCCCCAAAATATTCACTTCATAATGATGTAAAACAAAGAAAACCAGCTGTTTAATGTAGTTGCTGATGAGTCAAACAAAATTAAAGTGTTAATTGATTAATTGACTTGATAGTTTCAGGATTAAAATCAACCACAGGAAGTGACACATAACACTACAGGTCGGAGGTCGAAGGAGGTGCTGACATCTTGAGCCAAACAATTAATCAATCAACTGAAGATTCACCTGCAGTGATTTAGACAACTGATTAATCGTTAGAGTCTGATTTTTTAAAGCAAAAATGGCAGAAATGTGCTTGTTTCATTCATTTCATATTTAATGTCTAAGAATATCTGCTGGTTTTCTTTGTCTTCCATTATAATAAACTGAATATCTGTGGGTTTCAGATGTTGGTCGGACGAAACAAGACGTTTGAAGACGTCGCTTTGCCTTTTATTTCACTGTTTTCTGACGTTTTATAGATCAGAAAATAATCAGCAGATCATTCAGTTCAACTCTAGTGGCGTCAAAGAGCCAAACTGACTGAATAAAGGTTTTCAGGACCAGACGAAACAATCTGTGGTGTGATCCTTCACTACACGTGAGAACCTCTTACCTATTTTGTCCACCAGGGCGGTGACAATCGACAGAGGAGACCTCTTCAGCGCCGGGTTGTAGGTGTGAGAGTAAGATATGAGAACTGAGGAGAGAAATGTATAATGTGTATAATGTGTATAATGATGTATAACAATGTATAATGATAGTTCTGTAAGTAAACTGTGATACCTGCTAAACTGTCCAAGTCCTCCAGGATACGACCAAACCTGCAAAGAAGAAGAGAGGTGAGTCCGAGGCAGACGAGAATCTTCTGTTATGGTTGGTTATTCCACATAGTGGTACTGGTGTGTGTGTGTGTGTGTGTGTGTGTGTGTGTGTGTGTGTGTGTGTGTTCATACCTGACGGTGTTGTGGAAGGTCAGGTACTTCTCTCTGAGCTGTGGCTCGGAGCCCAGAGGCAGGTGAACCTCCAGGTAACTGTCTTTCATCGTCTTTGCTGGAAGGTCGTTTTGAGACTTC